ATACCCATAGCCAGAAGGGTTTTTTTGCGTGCCAGGGTAACATGAGTGCTGGGGAAGGAAGGACGCAGGGAGGGAGAAAATTTGACCCACCCTAATTTTTCTTCAGTGGCATCAAAGCTAAACATTGACAACAAACGGGCTTTCATAAATCTGCTGACCAGGAAGTGAGCCATCGATAAGACTAAAATCAAGCAAATCGACAAGCAATGGTTTGGTTACAGTCTGGCGAGTCAGGAAACGCGTACGGCGCAATCGTTGGCCGGCCGTACCGACATACGAGCGCCCGTGGCGCCACACACCTGCCGTCCCACGCAGGTACGCCGAAGAGTACCGCCCAATGCAGGTACGCCGAATGGCACCGTCCAATGCAGGTACGCCAAATGATACCGTCTAATGCAGGTACGCCGAATGGTAACGTCCAATGCAGGTACGCCGAATGACACCGTCTAATGCCGGTACGCCGAATGGTAACGTCCAATGCAGGTACGCCGAAAGGCACCGTCCAATAGAAGTGCGCGTTCGTACAGCAACGGTCTATTTCTGATGCAATTCTTGGCAAATGGCTTCTAAATAAGCGACCCCTCGCTCAGCCCGACCTTGAAGACCACCACAACATGTAATTACCCATCCGTCAGAAGCTGGCGCCGCCGTTCGCGGAAGGACGCCGAGGATGAGAAACGGAGCCGAGACCGGGAGCATTCCACACGTCTGTGACGTCAGACGTGTGACTGGACATCTGGCAAACTTCAGGTTCATCAGAATGAACTGTGTTGGAAGTCGGCATTAGCCATCTTCCCACGCTGCTTCGTATTTGGTCTGTCATTGACCGGGGTTTAAAATTACCTGGGTTGACACCGACGGCGTGCAATTAACCAGCGCGTCTACATGACTACGCAGCACTGCTCACGCTTCATGCCACGCTCTCAGAATCATGATCGCTAGCCTGCGCAAAAGTGCTAACGTCTTCGACATTGACCATTATCGTTCGTGACGGCTGGCCCAGACGGCTTTTCGATCGCTGACCTGGTCCAATCCCATCTACCAAGCCTGTGGCCACCACGATCCAGCAATCCCAGAGGTTATCAACCACGCATAATTCTCTGGAAAGGCGACTGCCTCCAGCCTTCCCACAAGCAATGATAGCAGGTAGAGGGCACCCTTTGTCCATCTCTAAATCGCACCCTTCTGACAGGCCTTCCAAAGCGCGCCTTCGACCCCACCACAATGGTGCACATTGCACCGTGTAATGTTTCACCATTGCTGATCACGATAGGCTTACGATCCCATGGGTTATGGCATGACCATTCACATAAATATTCGCGAAAACATTTCACTGTCAACAAAAGGTACAAGCCTGTTCAGCCTGTAACCTGAACGAGAAAAAAGACTCCATCCTGCGTCATGCGGAAATACAAGTGTGCAGTGGCTTAATATTTAAAGGAAGCAGTGGCGTGGTATTTTCGGAATAATCCAGGTCGATCATGCCACAGGGAAAGAACGTTATGGTAGTTAGTTGCTGTTAATTGCAATCGTGGCTGACCCGTTGTTGATAGGCGTTTCGCAGCACGCCCACGGCATAAGTAATGCTGCGCTAAAATATTCAGCGATCATGGGGCTGAATGGGAGCACAAGTGTTCACGCCGTGATCGGCATGTTCTGAGTGATGCTCCTACCAGCCAGCTCATTCTGTGTGCTCGGGCCTGGTGCCGGGGCAGCGTCGGCTGCACGCTGCCAACAATTTTGAGCATTTTATTGAAAATTCGCAATTTTTACGAGCGTGCGTCTTTTTTCATTTTATATGAACTAGTCCTTGCCGCAAGTTTAGGTTCAGATTTCATGTGACTTCGAGCACGTGGACTGACAGTGCGTCTGCCGCTGAATTAGGGGAGGGAGGGGGGGGGGGGGGGGTACCTCACGCGCTTTAGTGGAAGTGGGCATGGCACAACTTATAGCTATGTTTTACCGCGCAACGTCAAGGAAGTGATGTTAACCCTTCATACGGAGTTGAAGGAGAAAATACTAAATTTTACCCAAGATGGAGGCGCCGCATCCTGACCCTCCCCCTCTCCCCGGAGAATTTCCGCGCCCTTGCACTTCCTCTCTCCTGCAAACCGTCCAGTGCATCGCCCGACGCCGGGTCGTCTCTCTTAATGGATTATCCACAACACAATTAATTGTTGTCTCGATGTCCAGGGAAAACCAGCTCTAAGTAAGCAGCCTTGGCAGTTGAACTAGCCAGTTCTAATCGCGCCCCCGGAAGCGCATTTTTCCATCTTCGCAGGGCAAGACGATCCCACTGGGTCCCAAGCTATCTCCAAGATTGAATATGCTAAGGCCAAATAGAAGGCGACATCGGAGAGCTCGCTAAGCAGCAAAACATGTAATGCCATTGAACATTGGGGGAAGTGATCCACGAGAGCTCAAGCCGTGTCATCTGATCGACATTACATGCTGTTGGCCCTTATGCCATGCTCAGAAATACGCACGTGCGTCGCAACGGTGGGGTTGTCGTATTCTGTAGCCTTTAGCATAGTAAATAATACGCTGGTGGTAGTGTTACCAGCCAAACCAAGCCTTGTGTACATCCGCAGCACCCCACTTTTTTAAATCAAGCAGGATACAACGACAACGCAAACGACGAAAGCCAATCCCTGCCGACTAGCGTCAAATATCGAGCAAGTTGGCATAAAAGCGTTTCACATCTGTTATCTCAGCATCATGAAACATCATAATATACAACAAATCGATGCAGGGAAGCTATTCCAAACGCAAATTCTACGACTTCCGAAAGCTGCCTAGCGTGCGTGCGCAAAATACGTTCATGGTCCCGACAAAGGGGATGTCACTATTGATCTGTGGAAGGCAGGGCCTTCACAGTTTAGGTTGGTATAAAATCGTTAAAAACTGAGCAACTGAAACGCGGCATCACTAATCACTTCAACGTCAGTTCGTGAAAGCCGAGGTTCAAGTAACGAAACCTGTACCACTCAATTCTGAACTACTTAAAAAACTATGCTTAAAAGCAACCAAATCTGTTGAGGATGTGTTCCTCACTCCTTTCCAGGCTTCGGCCCTGGACTCTCTTGACAGCAGTCTATTACCTTGCCTTCTTCACTATGCCAGACCAGCCAGCGTACCCTCACCTCCCCCAACATTTCATTTTCAATGGTCTGAGTCTACTGAAAGCCTCTCAATGTAGCGTTTCCCAAGTCAAGACGCGTCACGGCGCGCATTCTGATTTGAATGGGCATCTATGGAGATTAAGTATCTAGGGGATATCAGATGTCAGCCCTAACCAACGAAATATTGCCATTTTTGCAGCACTTTGTTCTTTTGACTGCCACACAATCATGGCTGAAGTGCTGCCATATTTGAGCATGCACAATGAATGAATGAATGAGCATATTCCCATGAATAAGCAGCCAAATGGGCCAGCAGAATACTGCCACCTTCAAAAGTACCACTATCAACCTTAAGGGACTTATAGGAAGAGCAAAGCAAAGGTGACAGCCCTGACCCCCACCATCCCAGTAGGATAAACCCAGTGTAGCACACAATTTTCACTGATTTTCAAGAGCCATTCATTGAAATCAGGACATTAGCCCTCAGTCTGTGACTCTGATAACATCCCCAGTGTTTTACCAATGATGCATCTATAGCATATCATTTTCTATTGTTCTTTCAGGGTAGGAATTGTTTCAGTGGAGTGTAAAGTAAAAACTCCATCTTCAAGAATAGGACCAAAGTTATTTTATTCCTCCACCTGCATATTCATCAGCTTTGTAACACTCATCAGTGAGCCATCAGCTGTGTGTTGTGACTTGCAAGCCATCAGAACCCCTCAGCATGCAACATTCTGGTGTGCTCTCAGGGACCAATTCATCAATAAATTCAATGTGCTCTCGCTTTAGGTCAAGCAGTTTAATACCTTGTCTATTGTTAGGACACTTACTACACTGATGCATTTGATAATGAAGCACCAGTGTTTTGCACTTGCTTGCCTTAGTGCCCTCACTGGGAGCCAAATGACCACTGCAGTCGGCGTGCCCGAAAAAAAATAAACAAGACCAAACTAGTATCCACACCAAGTTCAAAACTTTGCTGCAGTATTTTTGCAGCATAAACAAAAGCTTCAAAATAAAAAGATAGTGAGATAATAAAGATAAAAACAAGACAGTAAGACTCATAAAGACAAGACAGTGTAAACTGCCACATTTCTTATAGAATAACCATCAGAATGGAGCACACTCCTTTTATCATGAACATTTTGGCATCCATTCAAGCATCCCAGCATAAGGAGTTGTCTAAATATGTGATTCTTCAAAGTAAGAAATCTCAATTACACAACTGCAGAGCACCACATCAAGCATCACGGTGGAGAAATAAGCAATGAGTCAGTGCAAAGAGAGCTTCTGTCATAAAATGCCAGAGATGGATACTTTTAGCAGGTACCATGTGAGATGCAGTAGTAGCATGACAGGGTTCAAACAAGACTTCATTGATAAAGTGTATTGTATTCCTACCTACTCACAGCTAATGCCATACTTGAACTACAGGATTTGTAATGCAATCATGAAAGATATTCCCCATCTTTCCATGAACAATGGCCAATGGGACATCACTTATTAGTTCCAATCCTACATATTTATATGCTCCCAGGGTCAAAGTCCTCATATATATAACACATATCTCTCTCTGTCAGACATATTGCTATATATGATAAATCCCCATATCTTACAAACCAATACAATAATTTCTATGATCCTAACTGAAAAAAATTATGCTGAGTGTCTGGCACAGCAAGCTGTCCACCAGCAGCCTAGCTACAAAAATTTCAGCTCATGCATACTATAAATCTGGGCACTCAGAGCTCTCCACATAGTCACTAACAATACATTACCACATGGAAAATCAATGTTTCAGGATTTTAAAACACAATTGTTGGCTAGTTACTGTGGGCTTAATGAAGCGGGTTGACATGAAAAAGCCCAGTTACATACCTTTCCCGCGGCTCTGCCAAGTCGGACGATCCCTAGTTTCAGCCCATAGCCCGAAGATTCAGCGCGCTCCGGAGTGCTGGGAACGTACTTCATTTTTCTAAATAACCTATTCTCCACACCAGCGCGAAGACTTCAGGCGTGCAAATTTGACCAGAAACAGTTCCAAGAATGTACTTTGCACGACACCATGCATAAATAAACCTCTCGATGAGGTAGGCGCCCGACACAACCAGCCAGCACGGGACCAGGGCACCGGCTCCGCCCCCGGCACGCAGCCAACCACACGCAGTGTCGGCTCGGAGGCAGCGAATGTCGCGTCCGCAAGCACAAACTGTGTGCTGGCATTGCCAGTCCTAAAGCGCAACAAACTGTTGGAAAACTCAAGCATAGGAGCGTCATAGCCATTTTCTAGTAGTCTGAACTACAACTTTGATTTTTATACAATGCAAAACTTTATACTAGGCGTTTCTTTGTTCTAAATTACTTCAAAAATGGCTAAAATAACAACTAAATAGTACTTAAAATAATTTGACGTCATATATAGGGAAAAACTGATTATTCTAACAAACTGATGGCTTGCTTTGTTTCACATTCCTTTTTACTAAAATACAGCCATTTTGAGGTGAGGTTAAAAGGCTGACGTATCTAGCAGACATGCTCATTCTTGAAAAGCATTGCTTAATTGCGTCGGAAATTTACATCGATCAGTTATAAAAGGCATGGTTTGTGTGGGAGCTGGTAGGAAGTGGCAATCTTAATAACGGTTAAAACCCCAGAACCCAGGAAAGAAATTCAGGTGCAAAAGCAGACAACTATGCTCTCAAAACGCACCGCCTCGATCAGCGCGAAAACTTCGCTTTTCGATTCGTCATGCCTGATTCTCAGATTAGATTTGAAAATCGTGATTTTATGGCAGATGCATAGTCGTCACTTTTGTAGATATTTAAACTGTTACACACGGACGACAACAACTTATCCGAAATCAGAATCTATGCAGGTGATCGTCGCGAAATCTTCAGTGGTAGCTGCAGCACGTAGGCATACCTTTGGCGACAATTCCTTACCATGATCAACATGTTAGTGATCAGTGATCATTGCTGTGAGATCAAAATGCCAATATAACAGCCAAAACCTAACTTAACTTTTCTTAACTCAGTACCGTCTTCGTTTCCCGCACCAATGGTCTTTTTTATGGTAGACAAATAGCAAACACGTGTGACAGTTTGCATTAATTACTCAGTTCCCAGGGCCAGGCCAATCAATCTCGATATCACGATCCCGTGCGACTGGATGTGATCTTCATTGACAGTGCCTTTTGGCTTCCTGATGGGTTCTACAGCCATGAATAAATCATATAAACACCTGGTCAAATCACACACTTGGGCTCGGCTCTTATCATCATTTTCCATCGCGGCAATACATACCGTCTCCATTTAAGCCTGATGATGTTTTTGCGACGCAACAGTGACCAATGATATCTTATCATATCTGACATTTGGTTCGTGTAATTTTCGAGTCTATCGGTTTATTCGTATGTCGTCATATAGAACTCTGCATATCTGCAGATTTCTAACAAATGTGAGTGCTTCTGGCCTAAGCAGGTTACAATGATGCTCAAAAGTGACTATTTCGAGACGATTTTATGCATAGGGTCAGAGACTTGAGTTGCCTGCAAAAATATCGATGTTGACAAAATTAATTGCTTCTGATCTAATTTAGGGTCACTGTTATCCGAACTGAGAGAGGCAATCAGCTGTGGCACAGCGAATGGTGAAGGCTCCGCGGCCCCTAGAATGGCAGATTCTTAGAGCTGACTTGCCCGCCCTTGCACATGGAATTCTCCTATTGCGTTTTTAATGCGTTTTTGCCCAGTTTTTGCCACTCCGGTCAGCCAAATCATGCTGAATCTGTTGTAAATTTTGGGGCGGTCGGAATGGGTAGTTTCTGAGGACGAGCACGTCTCAGGTATGTCGGTTTTTTAGTCGTACCCGTTTTTCAGGTATCGAGAACGGAATGCACTTAAGTGATTTTCCTACCATGCCTGATGCAAACGTAGATAAGAACTTGCCTTTTTAAATATAGCGAACAAGCATGCACCATTTGTGATAAGCCACATCTGGTCTGTTGCATCTATGTGCGGTCGGATGTCGATCCATTCTAATGACTCCCATTCGGGATGTCCAGCATGCACCGCTCAATCGTGATATGCACCTCCAATGCCATAAGCCTGCTGCGTGTTTGCACATTGCCAAATGTAATTCAGCTTCATGTATTACCTTCGGTGAGTTCTGCCCGCTCTTTGTATGTTTCCGACCGATAAGAAATCACGTTCCGGTGGATGGAACAGGCTCAAGGCAAGGCAACAAGGCAAGGCATTACACACACTCTATTTGTAGGGATTTACACCCTAACGTATTGGTTAATCCAGGGACAGCGGTGAAAATGCAATATGCCAGATATTGCAGCGATCGCACCACCTGTCGTTTAAAGTTATCCACTCTCGACACTTCGCCGATTCAGGGCGCTCATGCCATCGCCTTTGCCACAGTCGCTTTTGTCAGCGTCCAGCCAGCCGTGTTCAGGGGTCGTCCTAATCGTGTCAGGCTATCTCGATCGTGCTGAACCGCAAAGACTTCCAGTGGCCATCTCATTCATGGCTTCTGAGCCCTCTTGAGCACTGCATCCAAGGAATTCTACCTGTCCCAAGGTCACATTTTCAGCTTGCCTCGATTTTCTCACGGGAATCTTCCGCAGCGTTTTGTCTGCCTTTTGTCTGAAAGCTTTCACTTTTAGTTACGACGTAGCTGTGCCGTCCCATGCCTTGAATGTCACTGGGATGCATTCTTGTTTCACCGCCATTTGACGTAGTCAGAACACAAAAGGCCTAATCTGCCGGAAAGCTTCTGGGGCCCGGACTCCAGCAGCCGCAGCACTGGCTACGGCCATGCTACAGATGCGTGTATAGACATATCTATTTCTGCAGTCCCCAAGGTTTCTTGCGGCTGAAGTTTCTATAAATGCAGCTTACAGATTCTGTAGATCTCTTGCATTTTCGAACTTACGGTACCAGATAACCTAAAAGCAAAGGCCCTCCAATGGCCCCAGCACCTACACCAGGGCCATCTATCCGACTGATGGGATATCAAAGATGTGAAATCTACATATCACTGTGACAGGTGGCGCTGATTTGCAAACTGTCTCCACGACTCAACAGCGGTGGCAGCGATTTCAGATCAAACATTCGTATGGAAAATACAAATGCATAATACTTGTACGCAACTATTCATTGCAAACGTAAGTCCAACACGAAGTTCGTCACTTAAAATTACGTATGTAACAGTTTGTGTTGCAAAAGTTTGCAGGTGTTCGTGTGGCATGTATTGTGTCGTGTGGTGTGGTAAGGGATTAAAAAGTATTTGCATTGACAAAAGTTTGTCACGCCAAAAGGTGGCAATCAAAAAAGCGTACGCCGACGGTGTGTACGCAGCTGTTTGGAACCAGCTGCAGTTGTGAAAATTTTCGTAACGGATACAATTGTTCGACAAACTATGTGCACAAGAAGAAATCATTGAACGCACAATAACAATTTTGCACAAAGCCATTCCCGTGAGGAAGCATTCCAGGACACATGGACCACTCGAGCACCCAATGACACACCATCGTCAGCTCTCAGTTAGTTGAAATGTTGGCTCTGCGCGGAATTTAGCTGCATCGACCGTGCAAACGGAGAACCGTCATATTCAAGTCGACCGTGCAAATCATGGCCCCATCCTGCGTACAGTTTTTAAGCTATAACCTTGGACAATGTTGAGTCGGGCACAGGCTAGGTACGAATCAGGGATAGAGGCATTGCCAGTATGGGGCATGAAGTGGGGAGTACATGGAACAGCCGCTGATATTCGGGACGTCCTTTTTTACCCAACGGTCCTGCCATTCCAGCGCTACTGTGCACCTTTTCCATTGATTCGGGTCCAGCTGTTGGCTGCTTGCGATGTTTGATTTAATGTTATGGAGAGCTGGACTAGTCCTAATATTTTATATGACTTGTTCAATTGCTACCGTCCACCGCCATCCCTTAGCCCCTCCTGCACCGAAGCCCGCTAGGTCGCCGGGAAATGATGACTCCCGCAGTGACAATTCATGCGAGCCCCGGCAACACAGATGGGAACCTGCACTTAAAGCTACATTAAACATCTGCATGGGAAGTCTTTCGTACATACTTTTGCTAAGCAAACATTAATTTCAACACTCCTTTTCCTGCGAATTTTGTGTATTTCTGTTAACACTCGCCCGGGTAACCTGGTGAATACCCTTCGCTACGGTGGGGGTCAACTTGACCCCCTGAGATCTCAGAAACTAAGAAAGCTAGAAACAATAAATTCTTAGAGGGTCTTTACCTGTACATGAACTCGTTTGTGTCAAAATTTGAAATTCCTAGGCCTTGACCTTTGGGTCAAATAAGGTCAACAATGTCAAACTCCAGATCGGTGTCTAAAGTGCCCCCAGACCTTCTCATGCGACCAACGTGAACCTTGGTACCAGTTCTAAGCAAAAGTTCACTGGTTTGTATTTAAATTCAGTAACTTTGTGTGACCTTTCGAAGGTCATGGCGACCATAACTGTACGCGACTGCTTTGATTTTCGCATTTGAGTAAAAGTCAAGGATAACGCTAAGTGGTATATTCCTGAAAATTAAATGTACACCAGGGGCATTTTAGGTCAGTTATCTATTCTGACGTTAAAAAAGTTCATGGAAGATGTGAAATGCATTCCCTGTTATCCACAAATTCAAAATTAGCACCCGAGCCACCCGTATAGCAAGTTCTAAAGTAATAAAACAGGTTAGTTTTGACCTTGGTATCACCGTCTTACCTGATTCTTGGTCAATGGACCTAGTAAATTTGATTGTTGTGTTGTCTAGGAAACTTTCGCAATGATATATGGTCTGGTCTAACACTCCATTGTTGTATCAGAGTGAACAATTCCGTAGAAATTGCCTTCGCTGAGTCCGTGGCCTGACTTTGACCTGCAGTAGGTCAGTGACTTTACAAGGTGCATCTAACTTTTTATTCCAAGCGATCCGCTGTGCAAATGTCTGCAACCAGACAAAATTTGACACGGCTACACCCCGCCGTTTGGAAATCATTTCGAAAAAACCTTCGGTGGGGTCAAATTGACCCGCACCTAGGCGCTGTTAAATATTCGCATGTCAACTTTTGCGCACGTACTTTTGTCGGCGGGATTTTACCTCCGAAAACATCTGTGTACAAACAACTGCGTGCGACCATTTTCA